TACTTGGATTAGTGTTCTTTTTGTTGTACATTTATAATTTCTTATCAAATTTATCCTGAATATACTTTTCTTTTGTCTTTACGTTCTACACTTCTATATATCCTCTCTATGTAAAATACAATCCCATGCATACATTTGTATATATGTAGTTGTTATAAATAAAGTTTAATTTAATAATAATTTTTAATTATTGAATAATGTGTATCTATTTTCATATTATTTTCTTATTTGAAATTATAACTTCTATTTTAACTTTAAAAAAAAAAAAAAAAAACAAATTTCACTTTTGTGTGTGTGTATGAAAGAGTTTAGTTTTTCATTTGTTTCATATTTGATGTGGGATTATATGCATCATTGCTTATTGTCAACAAAACATTTCTATTTTATAGAGATCAATTTATAGAGAGCAAAATCGGGTCGCGGACGCTATTGCAACCACTGGAGCTTTCCAACAGGACACCTGGGCAACTTTCAGCGCTTAGCTTGTCCAGTTATTTGCGAAAAGGCTTACCTCAACGATCTTTCCCGAGTTACTAGTGTTTGTAGAGTTTGGGAGTCCAACCAGTAGCTTGAGTCTCCCCGGAGTTCCCCGTCCCTTAGATCGAAAAAAAAAAAAAAAACAAAACATTTCTATTTTATTTATTATGGTATTGATAGTAAAATCTAAATATAATAGAAGAAATTATAAGAAAAGCTAATTGATTTCCTATAAGCTAAATCTTTTTTTTTTTTTTTGGAAACACAATGCCTACTATGTTCAATGCATTTAAAAAAATTATGCTAGATAATAATAGAGTTAATTACCGAAATGATCCCTTGATTATAGTGAAATTACCAATTTGGTCCTTGACTATTTTTTTAACCAATTAAGTCCCTCAACTTTAAAAATCTTAATCAATTTGGTCCGCCATTTGTTTGACTGTTAGTCAACCGTTAACTTGGGACCAAATTGGTAATTTCGCTATAGTCAAGGGACCATTTTGGTAATTATCTTTAGGGGTGGGCAATTCAGTTTAGTTTTCTCGAACTGAACCGTATCAAACCGAACCGAACTAATTTGGCTCAGTAATATACCGAACAACCGAATGGTATTGGATTCTTGTATACCGAACGGTTCAATAAAAAACTGATCCAATTATTCGGTAAAAAATTGAACTGAACCGAATACTGTTTGATTTTTTTTAAAAAATATAATAATAATAAATAAATAAATAAATAATTAAAAAGTAAATCCAAGTCTCATACTGCTTGCTCTGCCGTTCAGCTCATATTTTCACGGGTATCTCCCGTAAATGTTTTATTTGATTTCTTTATATGGTTTGTTATCAAAAGTTATATATTATGTGTTATGGTGTTTACATAGTCCATATCCAAAGTCTAATATATAACAAAATAGCAATCCAAAGTTCAAATGGTATTTGGTTCGATTCGGTTTTTACCGAACAAATTCAGTTCGGTTCGAGTTTTTATCGAACCGTTCAGTATACAAGAATCTATTACCGTTCGGTTGTTCGTTATATTACCGAATCTAACTAGTTTGGTACGGTTCGGTTCGAGAAAACTAAACCGAATTGCCCACCCTTAAAGTTAATTACCAAAATGGTCCCTTGACTATAGCAAATTACCAATTTGGTCCCAAGTTAACGGTTGACTAACGGTCAAACAAACGGATGACCAAATTAGTTAAGATTTTTAAAGTTGAGGAACTTAATTGATCAAAAAAAATAGTCAAGGACTCATAATTAACTCATAATAATTTTTCTTATCATCAAAATTAAAATTCTATCTTCTAATATTTATAAGATTTATGTGTTCATATAATTATATAATTATTTTAATCATTTAATTTTACAAGCTTTTTATTTATTCATTGGACAATATATATTCAGTTGCACATGATACGCACTTACAACTAATTTTTTTATACTTGTCCATGTTTCAGTGACAGGATATAAATTCGACTATACGAACCACCGCCCAACATCAACGTATAAGTACACTAAGGTGTTATATCCAACACTTCTCCTCTACACGAGAAAATTTTCCTTCCACATACATCATGAATTAACACTCATCAATCTCTACACCAGATATATATATATATATATATATATATATATATATATATATATATATATATATAGGTGCACGTTCAGGTGACAACGGGCTCCTATAAGAGCAATGAGAACTAATCACAATCATCTATTATCGAAACTCTAGTGACATGTTATTACTGATCATCAACCAGTGTTTTTGGCTTCAATGCACGAATTCAAATAACATGTTTATAGGTTTAATTGCATTTTTCAAAAGTTTAGGAGTCTAATTAATTTTTTTTAGTAAAATTTAGGGGTTTATTTCACCTTATTCCCAAATATAATTAAGATGTTGACAAGTTCTCTGTTAATCGTTACAAGTTCTACATAATTACATTGAATTTAATTAAGACCACTGGTTTTTTACTTTTAAGAAATTGTGATATGTCCGCATTGGAAGGTTGGTTGGTTTGCATATGACTAGGATTAACATTCCTAGTTAGGTGTTCACATTTCTTATTAATATTTACCTCTTTTTAAAATTTTATTTTCTAAATTAAGTATCACAAAGTTTATAAAGTATGATTGTTGGTCCCGGTAGGGTCGAAAGGAGAGTCTAGAGGGGGGGGGGGGGGGGGGGGGTTGAATAGACTCAATTCGTTTTTCATGAAAATAACTCCTTTCGGGGCTATTACGCAGTGGATATGTAATGTAAATTTTAAGTTTCTTTGCACTGTTTGATCTTATGGAGAACTTTCGGTTAGGGCTAATGAAATGCAATGTACGAAAGTAAAATGCTGAAATGTAAAGAGACAAAGACAAGAGATTTTATAGTGGTTCGGCCAACTGTGCCTACTCCACTCTTCTTTCACAACTCGTGAAAGGTTTGCACTATCACTCCTAGTACAAATTACACCAAGATAGCTTCCTTGATCACTAAGCCGGACAGCTACTTGAAGGTTTTTCAACCCCTCGAGTTTACTCCGCCTCTATCAACTTCTTCTTCAGAGTTTAGGGTTGGATAGAATAATCTTTGAGTTTCTCCAACACGTTGAAGTCTTGACTGGCTGGTGGCTAGATGGATAATCAGCGTGTACAAAGTTGCAAGACTTCTTCAAGGTTGTGTGAATGAAATCAGATTTGCTTCTTCAAAATATCACACCTTGAATTACTGGATTTCAAAAGCTTTGAGAGAGTGTTCTTAATGTAAGGAGATTTTGAGAATGGGAGTTTTATCGTTCAGAAAACCAGCACCTTCTAATGTGGAGAAGATGTGTATTTATATGTGAGAAGAAATCTATCCGTTGGAGGGAGATGGAATTTCAAACCTATGATCCAGTGGTTAATAACTGGAGAACCTTGTGCATTTGTTGCTTCATTAAATGCGGCTGTACTATAGAGACGTTGGAGACAAACACTTTTGCTTATTTTGTCTTCTAGCTCTGAAAAGTAGTACGGTGGCATTTAATGCACCTTGATAAGTGTGCTCTTAATCCTAGGAGAGTTTCTTCCTAGGATGATCTTCAGATGAGACAGATTGACAACATTCTTCTTGAGTTGAGAGAAGATGAGTTGTCTTGACAACCATAAAGGTCTTTTGGTCAGAAGGCTTCTTTCGGCTTTTGCATTCTGTTGTAGAAGATCATCTTTCGTTGTTCAGTAGGGATGAGACTGTGCTTTATCGAACTGTTCTTCTTTCGTCGAGAGAGAGAGACCTAATTAAAAAAAAAAACGACTCTTAACTCAGTTTCGTGTGTTTGTCTAGCTTAACACAAATTACATGTTGAGTTAAGGTACCTTTCGTCTAAGACGAAGGTAAAGAAACAAATGACAAAAAGTTAGGGGTCTACTTCTAAGTTACATTGGTATCATCAAAATCCTAATACACATGTTCCTAACAATTTCTCCCTTTTTGATGATGCCAAAACCTATACTCTCCTTATAAGGCCGATATTTATCCCATAACGGATTTTTCATTTCATAATGGCCAATCAGAAGAGTTTACTCTAAATGAATGTAAGACAGTACCAGTATACAAAGCGGATAACTTAGATAAAGACACGATAGATTGAGATAAAAGTGACTTTTATAGAGATAAAAAAACACTTACAAAGAATTGTCACTAGTATTGAGGAAAAGAAGCCTTTACATATCTAAAAGTTTCGCCTTCTGAATCTGAGCTTCTTCTCTTTCCTTGTCATCTCTCTCTTTTTGTTTCTTGAGCATCCTTTTCATGTCGATGTCTCGGTTGATATGCTCTCTGTACTTTTGAATTGAGCTTTCTTTGACAATGTCTTCATATTCTCCTTTGATGTTGCTGCTCACGTAATTGTTGTATGCTTTGAGAATGTTTTCTCCTTCAATTATGCCGAGATTCCACCATGTAATGAGTTCAAATGAGTGCATTCCTTTGGTGTAGCTCTTTCCAGATTCTTTGTGAATTTTGAAGGCAGCATTATATTTGACTCCAGTCTCAGCATTTTTCTTGACTTTCGTGACATCCCTTATTGCTTCTTTGATTCGTTCTCTTTCAGCCAGTTCCTTTTCTCTTGCAAGTCTCGCTTCTTCTTGCTTGTTCCAAAGTTCACGATTTGCTTTCTTGATCTCTTCATTTCTTTGAATCTGATGGACTTGCCTGAAGTAATTATCTCTCTTCTTCATCCACACAGGTATGTTGTACCCTTCAAACCGTTTTCCACTTCCTTCTTCATATGGTTGGTACGTGTGGAAATTTCCTACAGCATCCATGGTTACAGTATCCTTGCGCATCAACCTTTGGCGAAGGTTCTTTTTCTCTCTGCTCGTTTTCCCGGAAAATGAGAACTCAGAGGTGGATCCGAAGGATTGGCGAGGCTTGATGGAATGCTGTCTGGGTCTAGAAGAGTGTTGTTGACGAGATCTAGATCTTGAAGGTGATGATCTCGTGTTTCTTCTTTCTTCGTGTCTTGGTGAGCTTCTTCGCTCTTATTGTCTTGTTAGTTCTTCATTGCTTCTTCTGGGGGGAGATCTGTTTTTGTCTTCGTCCTTGTCATCATCCTTTCTGTCCTTTTCCCCCTTTTTGGCATCATCACACGGGGTGTCAGAAAATCTGGTCAGACTTTGAACTGCAATAAGAACATCCTTGATGTATTCAAACATAGTGAGTTGATATTCAACCATTCGAAACATGTTGTCATGCCCGAGATCTATTTTTGTACAAGCAAGATCCACTCGTTCTTTGAGACCGAAGTGAGCATGTTTAAGAACATGTTGTTCCTTAGTAATTTTGTTAAGGATAACTCGTTGTTGACTGAGTTCGTGTGCAAGCCTATATTGCGTATTTGGAATTGATGTGTTGGGTTGTGGACGAGACATTATTTCCATCATGCGGTCGACTTTGGCAGATAGATCTGCTATGTTCCGGCTATCTTTTTCTCTGTGATGTAGATATTGCTTATGAATGAGTTCAGCAGTGAAGACTGTATTCAGCATTTGGTGCATGATGTGCTCAGGACTAAGGTAATCCATGCCAGGTGCTTGGTCAGGCGCATGAGGTGATGCTTCCCGATTTTCATCACGTGGTGATGCATCCATGTTATCATCACGAGCTGTATTTGCAAGAGGAGGTAGCATGGCGAGAGGTAACTCACGAGTTAGGTCTTCCTTTGGTGGGGATGAGCGAGGGGCTGGTGATCGTTCAGGTATATCTTCGGTGTTGCCTATGATAGGAGATTCACTATCATAGTCTGAATTGCCATCGTCATTGTCATCGTCATCTGAATCATCATCATGAGTATTGTTATCAGCTTTTCCTTCGTCATCATCATCATCTCCATCATCGACATGAGAGCCATCCTGCTCATCACCTGATTTGTCATCATCATCTTCATCATTTTCTTCGTTTTCAGAATTTTCATCAGTAACCTTGTCTTCATCAGCATTTTCATTCGAATCAGAGTTCGCGTCACCACTCTCATTTTCGGAGACTCTTTCGTCTTCGTGATCAATTTCCCTTCCTTCGTCATCTTTTAATCCGCTGACATTGCATGTCGGATCGTTCTGATGAGTACGTTCTAACTCTGTCTTGACTTTTGACAGAAGTAGAGCATACCGAAATTCTTTCATCTCTTCGACGAAGGCTGGGTCCAATGGCGGCTTGTTGAGCTCAATGCAGATGGGTACCTTTTCTTTCCCGAGAGTGCGATGGGTCACTTTGTAGGAGTACACGCGTTTGATAGTTTCAAGACGCAATGCTTCATAAACGTCTTGTGTGCCAATCCACTCTAAAGAAAACTCTTCTTCATCCTTCATTTCTCAAATGTTTCAAGAGACGTTTGTAATGGAGAAGTTCGTCATTTCTGCCATTGCATTACCCTGTTGAAGTCGTTCTCAATAGATTCTCGAAGCAATTGATCCTTTGATGGGGGAATTGGGACAACTTCGGGTACTGACACAATTGCTTGAGAGCTTTCGGGTATGACTGATTCGTGCAAGACTTCAGGCTCGGGTTGAGCTTCTTTCGGATTAGATTCAATCGGAGGAGTCACTTCTCTCGTCTCAGCTGGTTGACCAGGTTCTTGTGGGAGACTTAAGTGACTCGAAAGATGTGGTACAATTTCATTCTCTTCTACCCTGACAGGTTCTTGTGTCAGAATGAGAGCCATCTGCTCTGTTCGGGTAGGTTCTTGTGGGAGGATTGGTTCAGCAATTGCTGTAATTTGATCAGCGATCACTTCTCTCGTCTCTTCTGGCATGCCAGGTTCTTGTGGGAGACTTAAGTGATCGTTCAGAGCTTGAGATCCTTGAGCTTCCTTGTCCATCACGACAGGTTCTTGTGTCAAGCTCGTGTTGAGTTGCTCTGCCTGGATGGGTTCTTGTGGTAAGGAGGATTTTTTCGAACTTTCTGTGCTCCTTGATTTCTTCTTTCTCTTCTTTGATTCCTTTCTTTTCATTTCTTCCCCCCTGAAAAGATGCAAGCTTCTCCTTCAGTTTGGATGATAATATTGACTCAGGAGGGGGAACTAGTTTCGCCATGATCTCGTTTGCTTTGGAAATGGTGGGCCGAAAGTGGCTTTTTGATGCTTTCACAGGAGTAGAGTGTGCAGCCTCTTCTTCTTCAGAGGAATCAGCAATTATGACAGGTTCAGTTGAAGACATTTGTGGAGTCTTTTGAGAGACTTCTTTCGTGATTGCTTCCGGTTGAGTTGATGTGGGGGTTTTCATCTCAAGGACTGGCTGGGCGGTATCAGTAACTTTCGGCAATGCTTCGGGTTGATCAGTGGATGGTTCTTTTGTTTCAGGTGCAGAAGAGCTTTTGTCCTTTCGTGATTTTTTGGCCTTAGGCATATCATCATCACTTCCTTCAGATCGTTTGGACTTTCTCACTTTCTTCACTGAGTCCAACGGCAAGCCAAGCTCTAATGCTTTCTGTTTGTCATAGCCAATGGGTTTTGACTTCATGTGCCACACTTTTCGTCCTGGCGAGACTCCTGCTCGAAGAGGGATTTTCTTCATGGCGAGAAGATGACTGACTAGAAAGCCAAAGCCTATCTTTTTGGTAATATCTCCTGGTGAAGAACGACCGCCTATCTTCTTGGTATTATCTCCTGGTGAAGAACGGCCATACGTGATGGTGTGGCGAAGTTGATTGAATATAACCTTCGACCAATCCACTTTGTATCCCCCGAGGAAAGCATGCAGCATCTTGAGCTTGTACTTTGTGACGTCATCGGTTCCCGAGGTCTTATGTTCGACTACTTTGTTGAAAATATCAACTGTGAATTCATTGTCCATTCGTAACCACTTCTTCTTTAAAGGCCAGGTAATCTCGGTTGGCCCTTGCTTGTTCTTTATCTTCTCATAGAAGGCATTTTACTCGTAGTAATAACGAGAGAAGTCGGGCTGGTAGGTGTCGTCTCGGTCTGGAAAAGAGAAGGCTTTCTTCAAGTCATCGACGGTTAGTACCACGACGGTGCGATTTACCTCGGAGGTAATTTCCGATCCATCGGCAGAAACACTTGCATTCAGGTAAAACTGAGCAACATCTACTGGGAACCAGTATGTGTATAAGTGAGTAACAAAGTTATACAAACCGCTTTCCTTGAGAAGATTGATCACTTTTTCTCCGAAGGAGCGGTCAAGAACGTATTCCAGAAATCCATGAGCATCCCACATGCTTCCACCAACGATAAATGGTACTCTGGATTCTATGAAGTTGATGTCGGATGTTGGAAAGCTTGGTACCACCATTGTGGAGGGTGCTTCCTGTTCAGCGTCGGAGGATGGTATTTTGGCTGATTTTGCCATGACTTCAAAAATATGAGTATGAGAAAACTGGGTTTCAAAGTCTGAGAGGTTTTTGAGATTTCTGAGAGATTCTCAAAACTTGGAGTGTTGAGGAAGTTTTGGAAAAGTGGGAGGGAAGGTGATGATTTAGGTTTTATATGAGTGAATGTCATAGAGGTTTTCTAATGGGCCAAGAAGATCAAGCATTTGACCCGGCCCTTTTTCTTGAGGATGAACGGGTTGGTCTTTTCTTTGTCGACCAATTAGGAAAACTGATAGGGCGGATGTATCTGATAAGTCCAGTATCAGATCAATTTTGATCATTCCGTATTAAATACGAGAGAGAAATGTACTCGAGTATAAAACACCTCCATTAAATGCGTGTCGCATCAACTGACATAGGAGCATGGGTTAGTGGACCAAGTTTTGTGGCCACACGATTCCCATTATCAATGTAATCGAACGGTTAGAGTGAAACTCCTCAATCCCAAGCAACCGCCAAGACGTGTAGTCTGGCTTAAATGCATATCGTGACCAACTTACTTAACTCTCGGTTGAGATAGAGTTTTAAGAAGCCGAGATTTCTAATCATAGATGCATTAAAACACAAAGGGGCAGACATGATACAGAGAGATGAGTTATTACATGGATGATAGATATTACATTCATCTCTCCGTTTACACGAGATAGAGATACCCTTAAGATCTTTTCACCCTCTTTCTCAGCTGCTCCTCAAGTTCTTGGATCTGTTCCTCACAAAAATCCTTCCACATTAAATAAGATGGATCATTTTTGAAAGAGCTCATCGTAGGAGATGATAAACCAAGTGGAGGTGGCACATTCTGGAGAAGAGTTGAGGGGAGCTTCTTAGCAACCGAACCATGAGAGCTTTCTCCATGTTCGGATGATAAGTTGAGAGATTTGAACATCTCTTGGACTTCTTTCAGGTCCTTTTTCGGCAAGGAGACAATGGAGGAAACATTTTTCTTTCCTTTATCCATTGTGGGAACTTGAATAATCATAGAAACATAAGGTGTGCCTATTTATAACCAGAATGGGTGTTCATACCTAGGTATGGCACATTTTACATTTGAGGGACTAAGCACTGTAAATTTGCCAAGTTCCAATGTTTAGAAAGATTCCTGACTAGAGACTATAGATATGACATTTCATGCTTGAAAAGATAAAGTAAATCAAATAAAGATCTACTTCTCTCATGTTGTCATCGTGTTATCATTCGTGTTGAGATGATAGGAAACAAGTAAAGTTTCGTTATTACTTAATAAAAGATGTTTATTTCGGATAGGCATAGAGGAACATCAGATAGGGGTACACTTAGGATAACAGAAATTTTCATTTCTTTCCTTTTCCCTTGGCATCCTTGCTTGCCATGCCCTTCATTGACATCATTTTTCCCAATTCTTTGCGAAACCATTTCGCAGTTTTGACAGTCTTGGATCCAGAGGGAAGATTTGTTGTGTTGACTTCATCATCAGATTCAGATTCACTGGCATTAGTGCTCAAGTATGTGAGATAATCATGATCAGCAAGTGGATTTTTCCAATCTTCAGCAGTGGGAAAGTCTCGTCCTCCTTCAATGGGTGGAGGAGCTTCATGAAGATCAGCGATGGGATTCTCTTCGTCTTCAGAGACAAGGGGGGCAACAACCTTTTCAGGCTGATCATCATCAGAGGAGAGATCTAGAGGAGCATGCTCACTGTTTCCTAGATAGAGATCTCCTTGTTCCTCTCTCAGCTTTCGAGCTGCTTCTTTCTCTAATTTGGTCATGGATCGAGTGAAAGGCCTGTGAGATGCCATGTTCTTTCTGGTTGTGAGATATACCAGGTGTGAATTCGGAGTGCATAAATCCATCCCTTTTATAGCACAAAATGAATGATTATCCTTATTGAATGTAGTGAGCATTGAATGACCATTCAATAGCTTTTGCGTTATTTGTCGAGCCATTCATTTCGGCTTCGACTAAGTAACGCATAAAAAAGACGCTAAGAATATATTCCATGGAGAACTGTGCATCTTTCGTTAGCCATAGCAACACAACCAAAGGTTTATTTTATTTGTAATGACCACTTTGAGGACAAAGAGCCATTAATCAGACATGATAAGAAACCGAAAGGTGGTTTTAGGACATAAATAAATTATAGCAAAGAAATTTTTATTTCTTCTCTTTTCCCTTCTTCTTCTTGCTAGTTTCACCCTTGTGCTCCTTAGAGACCTTCTTTGTTGCAGATAGATTTGGATAAAATGATCCAACAGAGGGTTCCATTTCTTCATCAGATTCACCTTCGATGTATCCTGCAAGCTCGGTTTTGCAATCATAAGTTTGATAGAAGGCTCGGAGATCCTTGTCCATATCAAGATTATTCCAAATATTCAAGGGCAGGGATCCCTTTTTAACTATAAGAGGGGGTTCCTCATTGGGATCAAATAGTCTGGCATCTTCATCGGATTCAAACGTGATGAATACATCATAGTGCTCAAGATTTGAGTCAGAGAAAACATCCAGGGGAGCACGCAGGCTATTTTCAGGATAAAGATCGCCTTGTTCTTCTATAACAAGACGAGCTCTTTCTCTGATCCTCCTTGTTGCATCCCTAGTGATTGGTGCCTTGGGAGCCATTGTTGAAGAGCTTGAGTGATGTTAAAGTTGAACAAATGGCCCCCTTTTATAGCCATATATGTGATATAGATAATCAATGTGTGTACATTGATTTTAACCAGGTGCAAATTACTTGGAGTGATGGCATCGATTTCCGTGATTTTTGAAACCGATGTGAGTTTGTGCATTTATGAGCATCAAATTCCGCACAGCTTTCAAATTCAAGTTTGAAACTTTTGTGAGATGGTACATTAGCTATTAATTCATCTTTGACCGGAATAGCAATGTTCTGATATTTTAATATCATGGTCAAGATAATAATCATTGCTGACATCAAGAACAGGAGATTTTATTAAGCGAGACCAGAGAGCAGGTGACCATGCCTTACATACAAAACAAGCATTAGTGA